GGGCCGCCGGGAACCGCCGCGCGACAAGCACCGCCCAGAGGCTCGACCTGCCCCCGGACGGAACGTTAACGTCACGACGCTGACCCATAGCCTTCTGGGAAATGGAGTTCTAATTGAGGAGACTTGCGTAACTAGCCCGGATAGGTTAGCGATCAAGGACGCAGGCGGGCCTCAGGGAGTGCTGGGGAATGGATTCTATAAACTGAAGTTTTCACTAGACTCGCTAAATTCTGAGGAATGTTTGGGAATCTGAAGCTAGAAGAGTCGAATGAAAACCGCCAAAAGGCATGCCTTTAATCCCAACACTTAAGAGGGAGAAGCAGACGAATTTCTGAGTTCGAGGTCAGTCTGGTCTACTGAGCGATTCCCAGAACGGCCAGGGTTACACAGAAACCCTCTCTCGAAAAACCAAAAAAACAAAAATTGCTTAAAGGAGGGCATGCGCCCAGGGAATGATGGGAATCTGGGTATAGAAGCTGCACAGGGGGCGGGGGGATTCTGGGAAATGTAGTGTGGTTTGTAAAGTGACTAAACGAAGGTGCGTGGGAATTGATGGCGTATAGCAGAACCTGAAAGATAGAGAAATAAAATTCCCATACATTTTGTGTTTTGTTATGAGACAGGTTGACCCTCGAACTCATTATGTTAACTAAGAATGTCCTTAAACTGGTGATCTTCCTGCCTCCATCTCCTAATTGCTGGGATTACAGACGTTTGGGGTTTATTTTAGAGACAGGGCCTCGCTATGTAGTCCTGCGTTGCCTAAAACTCACAGAAATTCTCCTCCTTCTGCCTCTCAAGTGCTGGTATTCAAGGGGTGCCACCATGCCCGGGCTTGTTTTGGTTGTGAATCTGCTGTTGATGGGGGATCAACTCAATGAAGAAAAACGTTTGCCTTCTTTGAGCACCCTTTGGTCATCATGACTGGAACTGAGCCTGAGAGTAGGCAATAAAAAATATTTTAGGATGAATGAATGGGCTCCCTAAGGCATCGGAAAGACAAAGTGCCCACAGGAAATTGAGTTCTCAAACCAGATTAAAGACAGTAGCCGCCAAACTAATCTGAGTACCCACTTTTAACACTCTGGGATAAAGTTCCCATGCAAAGTTCAAGGGAATCAGATAACATAAAGTAAGCTGGAAATGTAGTCTCACATCTCCTAAAGGGTTCAGCCTCCGACTTCCAAATGTGCCTCAGAACCCAAGGTACCCAGAAAAGTCTGTCTCCAGATCAAGAAAAGCCTGCGGTCTCTAGTCGTAATCCCTTGAGCATACCAGGAAGAAGGGTCCCAAAGAGCTGAGCCCAAAATGACCACACACTTTTCCTTAGCCTGCCTGGGGCTGCAGAGGACTCTAGGTCATATTATTCAGATTGTATCATGCTCTCCTAGCATGCTGGACTTTATAGTACAAAATCTGATTTCCACCAGGTTTGAAAGTTTTATAATAGACCCAAAAGATAGGAACACCTTAATACTTTAAGTATCTTCCCCCAAAATCCAATTGGAGAAGGATAGAAACACCTTGAGACAGAAAACAGACCTAACACAGACCCACCAAAGTTGAACAGAAAGTTGCCAAATTTGTAGAGAGAAAACAAACGTTTTCCTAAGGGGCATTAGGGCAGCCTCATCCACTCTGTAGTGCTTGGATTGTGAAAGACAAATAAATTACAAACCCTTGCAAGGCCTGGGGAACAATGATCATAAATCCAAAAGTATAATCCCATGGTTTTTGAGATGTGAGATACCTAATCCACACCACACACATACACACACACAATTCTTCCCCAAGACAAGAAATTAGCTATTTCAACCCCTGGGGTCCACAAGGAAGGAGATCACTGACTCCACAAACTGACTTCTGATTTCTACCCCCCACCATGGCATATATACACACACTCTACCAACGCACATACTAAATAGATATTTATAAAACTATCCACAAAGTAAGACTGCACCAATGCACAGACAGAGGTAAGACTATGATTAGCCAGTTTTGGTCTGGTTGTTGTTTTTGTTGAGGTTTGGTTTTTGAGGCAGGAGCTTGATATATAACCTTCTACTGTCCCATCTCTCAAATTCTGGGATTATATGCACACCCTCCACACACTTGGCCTTTGGGTGTGTTATTTTAAACTATCCTTAGGAAGAGTTAATAACCTTGTACAACCAGTTTAAATTCAAGAGGCAATTAATTCATAAATTAATTTTTCGGGGCCACCTATGGCTGGCCTGTCTGTTACTATCATTACACCAACCCTGGGTCAATGGGAAGGAAGTCTGGAGACCATTAGTCTTCCACAAGGTTATGTTCTTTCAAATGTGACCTCCAACTAAGGAACAGGGAGAAATTCACTCTCCAAATGGAATTCGGCCACTGCAATTATAGAAGAAGATTCAACCCCAACCCCTAAAATCATGATCACTTTTTTCCCTAGTTTTTCAAGACAGGATTTCTCTGTAGCTTTGAAGCCTGTCCTGGAACCTGCTCTGAAGACCAGGTTGGCCTCGAACTCACAGAGATCTGCCTGTCTCTGCCTCCCGACTGCTGGGATTAAAGGCATGGGTCACCACCACCTGCTCCATTGTGTATTTATGTATGTGTCTGCACATCGGTGCAGGTCCATAAGTACACCACTAGAGGGCACCGGATCTCCCATAGGTGGAGTTATGGGGTCTTGTGGGCCAGTTGTCATAGGAACTGTGAACTGAAATTGTGTCCTCTGAAAGAGCAGCAAGAACTCTTAATCCGTTGAACCATCTCTCCAGCTCCACAGTCACATCTTTTTGAAAGTTGTTATATTCCTTTGTACATGTATGCCCATATATGCCAACACACATGGAGGTCAGAGGACAACTTGCAGATGTGTTTCTCCTTCCACAGGTCACAAGGCTTGGCAGGACACTCCTTTACCTCCTGAGTTGTGTCCTGGGCCCTAGCACCGCATCTTACAGATCTATTCCTATGCCAGCCTTCTACCTGTCACTTGCTCCTCACTCCCTACACATAGTCTCCTAGCATACTTGTTTATTATTATTATTTGAGACAGGGTCTCCTGGAGCCCAGGGTGGTCTTGAGCTCACTGCATAGCCAAGGATGACCTTGAAATCCTGGTCCCCCTGTCTCTGCCTCCCAGGTGCTGGGATTACAGACATTCACCATCCACAACCCAGCTTAAGTAGTACTGAAGATTTAACTCAGGGTCTCAGAAGTGCTAGCCAAGCTACACTCCTGGCCATGAGCTGCTGGCTCTCCCAGGCAACATAGAGATGTCAGCCAGCCCACACAGCCAGCCGCACATAATGACAACACTGAAGAACTCAAGCAGATGTCTGGCGAGCCTTTATTTTGAGTTACAGAAGGGACACATTGCAGTGGCTCCTGGACTCCATACAATGGGACAAATCCTGGGAGTCTCACTTCCAGCGGCCTCCAACTCGACCCTTCCCAGCCCCCTTTCGACTGTGAGAGAAAAAGGTGGGGTCAGGAAGAGGCTCTAAGCCTCTGAGATAAGCTTAATATAGTGCCTTTAAAATTAAGGAAGTCCACCAAATACCCACTCCCACCCACAGGAAAAAGAAAGCAGAGGCCACTCCGTGCAGTTTCTTTTTTTGAAGTACTGGGCAAATGGAGTCAGGGCCTCACAAGTTAAGTAAGCATGCTATATGCTATACTGAGTCACGTCCTCCATCCCACACTGGGGAATCCTAGGCAGGAGCTCTACCTCTAAGACACACCCCCAATCCCTCACTGGGGGATTCTAGGCAGGGACTCTACCTCTAAGACATACCCCCAATCCCTCACTGGGGGATTCTAGGCAGGGGCTCTACCTCTAAGACACACCCCCAATCCCTCACTGGGGGATTCTAGGCAGGAGCTCTACCTCTAAGACATACCCCCAATCCCACACTGGGGGATTCTAGACAGGAGCTCTACCTCTAAGACATACCCCCAATCCCTCACTGGGGGATTCTAGGCAGGGGCTTTACCTTTGAGCACCTCACTAAGGATTATAAGTAGGGACACTACCACTGAGCCATTGTCGAGAATATCCCTTTCAAATAATCCCCAATTAGTGGTTGGTGGCCATGTGGGAGTTGACTTTCTTGGGTTGGTTCAGAGAACTCATGCACAAAGGGGTTTGAGGGTGAAGGAAGAAGGTTGAGCTGAAGGTGGTGACATGCTACAGGACTCAGTGAGGCTGGAACAGTGCAGAGAAAGGTTAGAGAAAGACAGGGACTGAGCAGGAAGCAGCAAGAAGCCTGGACATGGTGGAACACATCAGTAATCTCTGCACTACAGAGGATGAAGCAGGAGGATCATCTAGAGTCTGAGTACAACCTGGGCTATATAGCAAGAACCTGACTTAAATTAAATCTAGGTATGATGGTTCTGTAATCCCTATACTTGGGAAGTGGAGACAGGCAAGAGTCAGGAGTTCAAGGACATTCCAGCTTACAGGGGACTTTTGTCTTAATAACATGAAATAGAGAGTAGGAAAAGGGTCAGGAAGTGGAGATACAGATGAAGGAGAAGGAGGAGAAAGAGGAGGAAGGGGAGGAAGAGAAGAAGAAGAAAGAAAGGGGGGTGTCGCTGAGATGGCTCAGCAGGTAAAGGTGCTTGCAGCCAAGCCTAGGACAAATTTCATCTCTGGGACCCACACGATAGAAGGAGAAACCAACTCGTCCGCGACATTCTCTGACCACACTTGCACCACGGCAGCACGCACGCACACACACACACACACACACACACACACGTGCACTATGTGAATGTGATTCAAAAAAATCTGTAAAAGAATATATACTCAGAAAGAAAGAGCTGGAGGGAGCAGAAATCGGGGGTGGGGGGGAGACTGAAACCCAAGAGATTATAAGGAGACAGGAGAGACTGGAGTGCAGGCCAATAATCCCAGCACTCAGAGGCTGAAGCCAGAGGATCAGGAGATCAAGGCCAGCCTCAGCTACCTAGTGAGACTGGGCTACACGAAACTTTGCCTTAAAACTAAATAGGCAGACCAACAACAACAAAAAAGTCAGGAAGGGTGAACTATGTCAGTCACTCCCACATACGACTGACTTGAGTCACGAGGATCTGCTACAGATCCAAAAACAGCCTGGGCTACATAGTGAGTTCCAGGATAGGCTGGACTACAAAGTAAGACTTTGTCTTGAAATAATGGGCAAATTAAACAAACTAACAAATAAATAAATAAACTCATGAGAACAGATACATAAGGATGCCTTGGAGAGTAAGAAACAAAGACATAAGATGCCAAAAAGGCAGAGGTGTGCAGAAGCCACAGAGGGAGGAAGGGAGGCAAGCAGGAAGGGAAGGAGGGAGCAGGGAGAGAGGGAGGGAGCAGGTGGAGGCTGGGGGCAGCACTTACAATTTCTGGGCGTGGCTGATGCGGTTGTACAACACATTGATCTATGGAACAGGAAGCCAGGTTAGATGTGGCTGCCCAACGGAAGCCCTGCCTACCACCCCTGTCACCCGGCCTGGACCCCAATAGAGCAGGTCCCACCTCATATTTCTGTTGCTTCAATTTCTCCATCAGGTCAAACTTCTCTGACTCCAGCTGGTGGATCCATTCTGACAGCTCCTGGGCCTTCTCTCTAGCAGGACGAGAAGGAATGGGATGTGTGAGGCTCAGGCTGTGTTCTGGGCCCAGAAACACTGAGACACCTACCCCAAGTCATGCAGCAAGTCTTTGAGTTTGGTATAGTTGGTGTGTTGCGGAATATCACCTTAACTATGTAAAGGTGTGTTGCACTTGCTTATGCTACATTTGTTTAATTATATAAAGATGTGTTGCTGTTTTACCTTGCCTGCCTAAGACACTTGATTGGTCTAATAAAAAGCTGAACAGCCATTAACTAAGCAATAGAGGAAAAGACGGCTGGCAAGCAGAGAGAATAAGTACGAGAAAGAATCTAGGATGGAGGGAGGGAGAACAAGGGAGAAAAAGAGGGAGATGCCCGGACCGAACCAGCCAACCTGTCAGCAAGCCTGCCAGCCAGTCACTAGACAGTCAGACATGGAGTAGGCCAAACATAGGTGAAGAGAAACAGGTTAATTTAGGTTGTAAGAGCTGGTGGGACAAGCATACACTAAGGCTGAGCACTCATAACTAATGTTAAGTCTCTGTGTCTTGATGTGGAAGCTGCCTCCCGATGGCTGGGTTTAAAGGCATGTGCAACTACTGCCCAGTTACTTGGTTTTTATTTATCACTTATGTATTTATTTATTGTGTGTGTGTGTGTTTAGTTTTGATTTCCGAGACAAGGTCTGCTGTGGAACAATTCTTTTCTATATTATGAATACATATTACTCTCATTGGCTAATAAAAAACTGACAGGCCAGTAGCAGGGCAAGAAGTCAGGCAGAAAAGCCAAACTGAGAATGATGGGAAGAAAGAGAGCAGAGTCAGGGGAGACACCAGCCAGTTGCCAGGCAAGAAACACATGTAGAAAATAAGGAAATAAGAGGCTGTGGATTCATTCTAGGTTAAGAAAAATCAGGTTTGATCAAGGAAGACCCCTGAAAAATCTCTGAAGGGGACGGAGGGCCCAGGTGATCCAACGTTTCAGAGTGCCTCTGTCACAGTTTCCTCTGAGTTCTGCATCCAGAGCAGCTCCAAGGATGCTGACTGGGATGGTCCGGCCACTAGAATACTCCAGTCAGGACTTGACCATAATCTTAAATTTTCTGAGGATTCCCCAAAGATTACCAGTGCATCCAATCAACAGGAAGTAGTCTAGAGAACTATGTTCACACTCCCCAAATTAAATTATGTATCTTTGTCATCATTTAGGAGGGTTGGTTGCAAGTCGTTATAGATAATGGTCAGAAAAAAAAAAACTAAACAAAGGAGATTAGATTCGGGGATCTTGTTCTGAAAAGAAAAAGAGGGGATTATAGAAATGATAGGATAAAAAGGCTAAATTATTGAATCTACTTTAATCCAAAAAACAACTATTAATCTTACATATTTTATATTGGTATGGAGTTTGGTTTATTGGAACAAATTTAAAGTTAATTTTGTTATACTATATGTATATTTCTACTTCTGTTTATGCAACTTATTTAAAAATGTAATATATAATTAAGAAATACAGATTATTAGTCATCCATAATAGTCACACATATCTACCAAACTTATGGTCATGTTAGTTAGTTAAGTTTTCTAGATATACAGAGATATATTACAGATAGATATATTTCAAAGTATGCCTACAGAGTATGGCATTTAAAAGGTTTTAAGAGCTTAGACTTTTCTCAACAGTGAGACACATCTGCTCCTGGCAGTGCCAATTAATTCAAAGAGGATGATGGGCATCAAAGAAACTCCATATGGAGTTTGCTTTCTTTATGGCAAAATCTACCTGTGTGGGCAAATAAACTGCCCTTGCCTCAATAAACGACAATATACTGTCCAAATTGGACCACAAGGGTGCAAGCCAAACTTTGCCAAGACACGGTAGAACAATCTGAAAAAAGACTGTCAGATATTCTAGGCTTATGGGTCAAAGATGAATGCCCCAACATTACAAAAGAATTTTGGGTGACTGTCCGGGCAGCAAAATGTCTGTGTAGTTAGGTAACATTTCACCCTTCTGGGATCTTTGATGGAGTTGAAGACTGGATAGTTATAGCTTTCCTTAGTTCTGACAAAAGTTAAATTAGATGCAAAACTTTAGACTCACCAAGATAAGATAATTAAGTATTTTCTCTAATTTTGCCAAATACAAATACATTGGATATTGTTACTATAAGTGTTACTTAATGACTGTTTTTGTTGTATATAGCTGTACTATATTAATTAGACAAAAAGGGGAAAATGATGTGGAACAATTCTTTTCTACATTATGAATATGCAATACTCTCATTGATTAATAAAAACTGACAGGCTGGTAGCTAGGCAGGAAGTTAGGTGGGAAAACTGAACTAAGAACGAAGGAAGAAGGCCAGAGCTAGCAGAGATGCTAACCAGCCACCCAGGAAGCAAGACATCCCAGAGCACAGGTAGAGGCGTGAGCCACATGGAAATACACATATTAATAAAAATGGGTAACAAGCCTGAGCTACCGGCTGAGCATTTACAACTCCTATCCAGCCTCTGAGTCGGTTATTTGGGATTGGGTAGTTGGGACAGGAAACATCCAGCTACAAAGGTCTCATGTAACTGAAGCCTGGCCTCCTACTTAATATATAGGAGAGGATGACCCTGAACTTCTGATCCCCCTCCTCTACCTCCTGAATGTTAGGATTGCACCTAAATGAGGGGGAGGGCACTGTGTATGCCAGAATCTACAGGCCATGCCAGGCACAAGACAGTTTGCATCTGAGTGACACTTTGAACAGAGAAAGCAGAAGTGGCCCAGAAAAAGAACATCACTTGCTTGAAGTGACGTATCACCAAGGCACAGCCTCAGAGTATCACACATGGAAGCCCTACAAGCACCTACCGGAGCTGGTCCTCCCCCATGTAGTCAATGTCCAAGGGCTTTTTCCTCTCAGACAGGATCCTGAGCTTCATCTCCCGGCCAGTCTGCCGCTTCCCACGTTTCTGTTCTGCCTGGAAAGGGAGGAATCCCAAGCCAGAGATGTAACCTGGAGGTTAAAATCCACTCAGAGGCCAGTGCCTCCAACAGATGCTCCAGCCCTCCTCCCCCAGACCCAAAGGCCAAGGCTCCATGCCTCCTCCCTCAGACACAGGAGTGCGGGCCCCATTCTTCCCAAGGGGACAGAGACATTCAGCAGCTGGTCACATGTTGTCTAAAGTGACAGCTGCCCCTAAACAGGCTCAGTCGTCCTCTTCCGGTCAGCACTCCGAAGCTTCCCCTCCCTTCCCTCTTGTAGACACAGACCCCAGGCTTGCACAGGCTGGACTCACCTTGACCAGGTAGCCCCCAAAATGAGCCCCCATGTTGGACAGAACCTTCTTCTTTTTGGCGTCGTCCTCTGCTCGCTTCTTTGCTTCCTCCTCCTCCTTCCTCATCTTCTCTTCCTGTGAAAACAGAGGGGTTCCCTCCATGAGGGAGGAAGACACTAGCTGGATAGTGGATGGCTCAGCTCCATGATGAATGAAGACGCGGCCACCGAGGAATCCACTCCTTAACGTGATATGACCCCGTTTTTTTTCTCCTGGAGACAAACCCTCAAAGTCACAGAAATCCTCCTGCCTCAGCTTCTTCAGGGCTGGGGTTTAGGCCCATCGCACCCGACAAAGCCCAGACTTTGTGTACAGTTTGAGTCTCTTGATCCAGCCAAGTCTGAAGCTGGACGAGAAGTAGACTTTTTCCTTTATATGCAGTTTGTCCTTTCATTAGGAAAACCTTACGCGATACATTACAGGGACTTTCTGAGAACCGCAGAGAATATCAAAAGTGGGAAAGGAAGTATTCTTCTCTAGCGAAGAGTCAGACACCTACCGCCAGTTTGGCCTGCCGCTCTCGCTCCTTTTCGGTTCTGAATCGCTGCTGCTCAGCTCTCTCTGCACGACGCCTCTCCTGGGGGTAGAAGGGAAAAAGATGGGGGAGGAGGATCGGAGGCCAACCTCTCCCTCAAGTTATCCCTCCCTCCCCCACTAGGCAGCAAGAGAAATAAGTGTGGTTTCTTTTGTTTTATTTTCTTTTTTGAAATAGTCTCAGATAGCCCAGGCTGGTCTCAAACTTGTGGCAATCTGCCTACCTTGGCCACCTAAGTGCACGCCTGGCAGAAATACACATTGGAGTGCAACCACCCGATGCCCCCATTGTTTCTCCCGGAGACCCCAAAGCACTTCACGGAGAAAGGGAAGGGAGAAAGCGAAGGACCCGACCTCCCCGGCCTCCCAAACTCACGATGCGATCTTTCAATGCAATGAGCTCCTCCTCCTCCTTTTTTCGCTGCTCGAAGTGCACATCAATGAGAGTCTGCAGTTCCAGTAAGTCTTTCTCCATGCGCTTCCGGTGGATGTCCTGCAGAGGGAGCCCGTGAGGCGGCAGAACCAGGCCCTAAAGCCGACCCCTTTTCAGCCCCAGGGGATAATTGACAGCCTGCTGGGACGGATTCCAGCAGAGAACAGCAAAGCAGCAAAGCGTTCTTTGCTGACAATAGGGCACCGAGGTAAACCCAGGCATTTCAAGAAGGGAGCGGAGAGACATGATCAGAATGGGCTTAAGGCGCCAAAGAACCAGCAAGTACGTCTGGGGTAGGACAGCTGTCACTTACATCAAAGTCCACACGCTCCCCTTCTGGAATCTTCGGGGGAATCAAAGGAGGTACCACTGGACGGCTGTGTGGACAGAAGTGGATAGAGATCATCCACAGACTGGCCTCCCTCACCCACCCACTTCACCACACGCTGAAGTGACAGCTGCCCCCAAGTCTGTGTGGAGACCACAGTCAGAAAAATACAGTTTGAATATGTTGGGTTTAATAAAACATGTAAGACTGTTTGTTTTGCCTGTTTGTACATACTTGTAAAAATGGACAGGTCCTAGTGGCACAAACCTGTCATTCGATCGGCTTGGGAAACAGAGGCAAATCAGGGCCTGCCTGGTCTAGAGGAAAGCTAAGGCCATCCTTGGAAACTTGTGAGACCCAGCCTCAAACTAAAAAGTAAAAACAGGACTGGGGATGTGACTCAGCAGTAGAGCACCTGCCTAGAATCCCCCAGTGAGGGGCTGTGGATGTGGCTCAAGATGGAGCACTTGGCTCAAACATCAAGGCCATAGGTTGAGTCCTCTGCATTAAAAAGGCAGGGATAGCCGGGCAGTGGTGGCCCATGCCTTTAATTCCAGAACTCGGGAGGCTCTCAGAGGCAGGTAGATCTCTGTGAGTTCGAGGCCAGCCTGGCCTACAGAGCTAGTGCCAGGACAGCTACGATTGTTATACAGAGAAACTCTGTCTCAAAAAAATAAAAAAATAATAAAATAAAAAATAAAAAACAACACCCCCCTCCAAAAAAAAAGAGGAGGGAGCTCAGCAATAAAAGGCCCAAGGGCCAAGCCTGATGTTCTGAGTTCCATTCCCGGGGTCCCACGTGGCAGAATGAGGGAACTGAGCCCCAGAAGTCATCTTCAGAACTCCACACTTGTGCCATGCACACACACCTTCGTGCTCACACACACTCACAAAATAAATAATAAAATGTTTTAAAGCTTAAAGCGTACTGCTTTCATATAATTTTTTGTACATGCTCCCAAACACTCCATTTTCTTTCTAAATGCTTTTCTTTAATTGTACGTGTAGGGTTCTCTGCCTTCAGTCTGTACAGCCTGTGTGTGGCCAAGTGCCCACAAAGGCCAGAAGAAAGCGTCGGATCCCTTGGAACTAGAGTTATGTGGGTACTGGGAATTGAACCCAGGTCCTCTGAAAAAGCAGTCAGTGCTCTTAAACCCTGAGCCATCTCTCCAGCCCCTAAAATTGTATTTCAAGGGTAAAGATGGAGCCCAGGGCTCATGAATACTAAGTTCCAGAAACTTCTCTAAGTGACTTATGGTTCCCCAGCTGTGCTAATGTCCTGCTACTCGCTGTTTAGCAGCAAGAGTGCACTGCTGTAACAAGAAACACATCTGCATGTTCAGAACACCTACAGTTTCTTTTAATAGCTGTGATTTGAGATTGACAAAACCCACAGACATCAAAGTTGGAATTTTCCCTAACCCTAACCCTAACCCTAACCCCTAACCCTAACCTCTAACCCTAACCCTAACCCTGACCCTAAGCCGCTCACACTTTTTCCCTGGTGCGGCAACAGTGCTCGGCTCACACTCTTTCCGGGTGCAGCGACACTGCGCGGCTCACACTCTATCCAAAGACTCAGGTTAAGGAACACTTCCTGAACAATAAATTTGTCACCACACTCCATGCCTTGGTAGGGTTCATTCTCTTGCCGAAAGTGGTAGTGTCTCTACTGTTCATTTGTTGTCTCTGCCGGAAACTGCCCTCGCCTCCTCCCTGCCTTCCCCGGAGCTCTCTAATCCCTTCACTCTACTCCCTTGACCTGGAATCCTCATGGTTGTGTTCCTTCCTCCTAGGGTTCTAAAACTTGGCCCTAACATCACCACCCCAGGCCTCCTCTCAGCTCAGTGTGCTTCCACTGCCCGCACTGACCTCCCTGGCTTAGCCATAATCTCAGAATGACCTGATTCTGCATCCAGACTGGAAGAGATCCACTCAACTTTGCCTGTAAGACATGGCTTTCCTTGCCTACAATGTACCCAGTACCTTCTTTGACTAGCAAGGCCTCCAACCATCAGGATCTATAAGTCATCTCCCTCAGGAAATCTTCCTTGATTGGCCTGGACTGTCGCAGGGCTCCCTTGCATGCCGTTCTAGAACCTAGGCTCTTATGATAGCAGACCTGTTTCACAACGCAGGAAGGCCCTGCGCTTCTTGCTATAAGAGTTAAGGTTGTCTGTTCCAAATCCTCATTTCTCTGCTTCCAGGTGCCCTGTCTCTGCTGGTGAAGGAGCATGGGAGGACCCGCTTGTGACCCATGCCCGCCCTGTAGCATCTCACCTGGGTTTGGGGCGCTCTTCTTCTGGTGGCAATGGGGGAATACAAAAAAATAATTAGAAAGAGTTGAGGGTAGAGCTTGGCACCCTTGAGAGAACCCAAGGAAGATCTGAGAGTCCAGTTCTGGGGGACGGCCTTTAAGAGAGGGAAGGGGTGTCAGGGTGGCCAAGAGGGAGGAAGAGGGTCACTCGCATCAGATATACATTCTGCCCTGTGTGGAGACACCCAGTCCCCAACTTCTGGAAACCCAAGAGACCAAACTCCCGACTGTCTACAATTATATCATCCCCTGTGTCCTGCCTTCCCCATCCTGCCCAGCAGTGGAGGGGACCCCATCTCTTCATTCAGGGACACCCAGACCTCTGACCCCAGTCCCCTATTTCTTTGGAACACAGCCACCCCCCTTAATAGTACTCTAAAGTTCAAGTTCCTCTCAGCTCATGCCTGTAATCTTAGCCTCTTGGGAGACTGGGGCAGAAAGATTGCTATGAGTTCAAGGCCAACATATGCTATATATGCTGTTTCAGGCCAACTTGAGCTACAGGTTGATAGTCTATCTCAAAAAATAAAAAAAAAATTAAAAATAAAATTAAAAAGACTGAGCGTGGTGGTGAACACTTGTTATCCCAGTGCTCGAGAGGCTGAAGTAGGAAAGTTGCTGCAAGTTCGAGGCAAGCCTGGGCTACATAAGACCCTGTCTCCAAAACCAAACAAATAAAACACAATGTAAGATTAAAAAAAAAAAAAAGTTCAGATCCCCACCTTCGAATGTATATAGGGATCAAATATAACATACAGGGTCGTGTGTCAAAAGGAGAGGCGATAGGGCACCTCTCCAACAACACTCAACTTTCTCTATTAAGTTTTCATTCCAAGACTGGAATGAAAGCTTGTTACAACAGTCCCTTTACTGAAGGGAAAAGGTTTAAAGCCACGCAAGGCAATTTCCCTTCACGGCCACCAGAGGGCGCAGGGCCCTAGGGGCTTAAAGGATCAGGCTGAGCCAGGCAGATTATTCAGGAGCGGATGGGGTGATAGTGGACCTGATGATGTCGGGGTCCCCAGACAGCCCGAATCAATCCCAGGAAGCGAAGAAGCTATGGTTACCTCGCTCTGCCACCGGCTCCGGTTCCTCGGGGGCTGGGAGAAGCGAGGATTGGGAGGTGCAGGGAGAGGAAGCCACACAGTAGCATAGAGGGGTGGGGAGAGAAGCGAGATGCTGTTAAAGAATGGATCCAGGATCCTCCAGCCCAACACATCGTTCCTTTCCCTACCCCACCCCACTCTCACACCATGACCTCCAAGGATCTGTGGGATTCAGGCCTCACCTTCCTCCTCCTCCACCGCCTCCTCATCTGGAAGGAGTGGGAACACACAAAGAAGATATTAGATCCGGGATAAGGAGCATCGAGTGTGTACCAGAGACTCATGGGGTAGCCCCAGCCCTCCCTTCTCAGACCCAGGAGATCCGGTCCCAGCCTCCATCAGGTCTGGGGTCTAAACCCAAGTCCTGGGTAAGAGGAGAGTGGGTTAACAAGATGGCATTCGTGTCCCAGCTGCAAGAGCAACAGGGACCATTCCCACCTGTTGTCAGGGGTTTCCTGGGAGCAGCTTCAGAATATCCCACCCACTCCATACGCCAACGCCAACGTGGCGCTGGACTGCCACACTTCCCCCTCAAGGAGCCGGCTTCTTCCTGCTTCCTCCACTGCCTAGAGACCTCTCCCCACTTACCTTCTGCCTGCTCCCTAGAAACATGGACAAGGAGGGAAGGGGAGAGAGGGGGCAGTTAGACATCCTGGAATGATCTCTCCTCATCAAGCCCCCAACCCCGCCAGAGGCCATCACTCACTCCTCGTAGTCTTGTTCTTCCGTGTCTGACATTCTGGAGTGACCTGCAGAACAGAGGAAAGAGGCTGAGTAGGGTGGGGTACCCAAGGGAAGAGGACTGGTGCCTAGACTCCTGGGTCTGAGGGAGGTGTGATGGGGTCTGGACCTCTGGGTCAGAGCAGGGAAGGCTAGCATCCAGCATCCCAACTCATGGAAGCCGGGCCCCAGTCCTACACCGAGCCTGCCTGCCCTGCCCCCTCACCCAGCTGTCTTCTTTTGTCCTGTGACAGGTTCATGGGAACCTGATCCCTGAAGGGATTAGGAGATATTGGAAAAGGGACAGGGTTTGAAGACAATAGCTGCCCCACCCCTAGTGCTATTTTGGGGGAATGTCACAGACAGAGAAACAGAGGACATTTCCCAATAAGGAACTGGAGAAGTGGGGTTTCCCCCTCCACTGCCCCTCTCCTACCACAGCCCCTTGCTCGCCTAGCATTCCTCCCGAGTCTATTTTCCTTTCGCCTACATTCTGCTTCGGGATGTATGTGTGTATCCATCAAAAGCAACTTCAGCCTGATCTTCTAAAGACTGCAACTCCCTCCCCTAAATTCTGTTCCTCTGGGCCTGAAAGTCCCCACATTGAGATCTTCAAAGGTTAGTGCCCACAGATTCTGAGATCCAAGTCCTGTGCCCTTGTTATGTGAGACCAAGAAATCTTAGTGTCTCTAGATTATCAGGTGCCCAGTTCATACTAGCACATGTGTGGGCCCTTACATTCCAAGACCCGCAAGACCGGGGGGAGGTTTGGAGAGTGGTGTTGAGACAGGGTCTCAAATAGCACAAGCTAGCCTTGAACTCACTATGTAGCCAAGGATGCCCTTGAATTCCTGATTCTTTTGCCTCCCCGAGTGCCAGATCACAGCCTGCACCTGTCTGAACCCCAGATATAAGACCTCAGAGTACAAGATCGTCAAATAAAACCTGACACCCAAACTCAGAAGTCCCATCTGCAGCACCCTGGACTACAATGTCACCTTTCCAAATAGTCTGTTTCTTTCTTTGTTTTCCAAGACAGGGCCTCACTCTGTTTCTCGGGCTGGCCCCAAACTAAAAATCCTCCTGCTTCAATCTCTTGAGTATTGGGACTTCCGGCCTGTACCAGAGACCTCAGGCCCAGGTCCTTCCCCAGTTCCTCATACCTCAAGACTTCCCAAACCTTCATACAGGAGCCATCTGCCCTTCAAGCACAGATTCTGTGGTTCCTCCAGCCTCTGAGACCTCCACATTTCTTTTTGAGATAATATTACTGTGTAACCCTGAACTCTCTTTGTAAACCAGCCTAGATTTGAGCTCACAGAGATCCACATGTCTCTGCCTTCCAAATGCTTCCTCCACCATGTTAAGAAGAGCACCCCCCAGAATCCATAACCCACAAATCTACCCCTCCACCCCTGCCATTCCAAGTCCTCCCGAAGGCTCAGGCTTAGCTGGGTAGCTGCTGCCTACATTCAAAACACTAAAGTAGCAGAATGATTGCTGGGAACTCAAGGCCAGCAGAATGAGACTGTCTCAAAGCAGGGGGAGGAGGGGAAGAGGAGGAAAAGGAGGAGGAGAAAGGGGAGATTCTGACCTCACTTTCACACCTGGTTCCCACTCTTATCCTGTCCACCCCCAAAGACGTCTGTGTGAAGAACTGAGAGCCCAGTTACCTAAGGCTGGGTCCACTGATGCTGCAGAGGAGATCTGATGCTTCTGAGGACAGTGACGCACCCCCTGGGTTTATAGCTGGATGCTCGGCCCCGCCCCGGGTAGGAGGAGGGGGCTCGGATTCCTCTGTCCAAACACCATCCCTCATGCTCAGAGCCTGCCCTGCCCTCTCTGGCTCCAGTTTTGGGGTCCAACCCCTGCCATCTGCTTCAAGATTCCTGTTGGATTCAGTCAACAATGTCCTAGATTCTGGGCTGGGTCAGGCACCCCACAAGCTCTCTTAGGACACCCAACAATATTCTGGGCTTTGGAGTCCCCAAGAATGGAAACAGTATAGGAAAAAAAGGGATTAATGGCAAAAGGGGAGGGGAGGGTCTAAGCAAAGCTTTCTGCTTTTTTTCCTCTACTTGGCTTTTCTCAAACTTCTCCTCTAGCTTGTCTGTGGCTTGCATTTGCATGTTCTCTCTCTCTCTCTCTCTCTCTCTCTCTCTCTCTCTGTGTGTGTGTGTGTGTGTGTGTGTGTTTCCGTGTTTCTGTTCCTCCATCTCTCCCCTCTCTGTCTCAGCCCAACTGTCTCCCGTCCCCACCCCCACTCCTTTGTCTGCCACCGGAATTCCACCACGGTGACAACAGGCTGCTAAAGCTGGGAAGCAGGTGTGGGGAGGAGGGAGGATGGGGTGTCAGGCTCGAGAGCCCTCACCCTCCCAGCCCCTGCTCTTTCCATCTGACACAGATCTTTTTTAGTATCCTCCAGCCCCCCCTTCTCAGCCAAGCCATGACCTTGAACTCTAGGGAATCCATTGCCTAGTTTCCGTGTTCCATCATGCCTCAAACTGCATCTTTGGGTTTGTTTCTGTGGGTGTTCGGGGCTCTCTCTTCCCTTCTTGGGTTTGGGCTCTCTTTTCTTTCTCGCTCTCTCTCTCCTGTCTGAACTGTTGTGAAATTCTGCATTTTTTGTTTTGTTTCCGGGGCAGGGGAGTGAGGAAAGATTTGAGGTTTCATGTGGCCCATGCTAGCCTCAAACTCATTTATGTAGCTAAGGGTAGCTGGAACTCCTGATCCTTCAGCCCTGTACCTCGGCAGTGCTGGGGTTAACACAGTTTCTCCATGTTTTTGTCCTTATGTGTTCCTGGGGTGTCTGTAGGTAGTTGTTTTGCCTTTCATTTTCTTCCTTTCTTCTTCTTCTTCTTGTTTGTTTGTTTGTTTGTTTTTTGTTTGGTTTGGTTTGGTTTGGTTTAGTTTGGTTTGGTTTTTGAGACAGGGTTTCTCTGTAGCTTTGGAGCCTGTACAGGAACTCGCTCTGTAGACCAGGCTGGCCTCAAACTTACAGAGATCTGTCTGCCTCTGCTTCCCAAGTGCTGGGATTAAAGGCCTGCGCCACCACTGCCCAGTTGACCTCTGCCTTTCTGTGTCTGGGCCACATGTCTTTTTCCATCCTTCTGAGTGTCTCTTTTTGTGTTTCTGCTCCTCTCTCTCTCTCTCTCTCTCTCTCTCTCTCTCTCTCTCTCATGCTCTCTCTTTCTCTCTCTCTCTCTCTCTCTCTCGTTTCCTGTTTCTGTGGAGCTTTTCATGAGTTTGTTAGTTAGTTTGGTTGGTTGATTCTGATTTTTTGAGACAGGGTCTACCATCTATCTCTGAATAGAATCCATTATGTGAACCAGGCTTGCCTCTGCCTCCCACATGCTGGGATTAAAGGTGTGCACCACCATACCTGGCTTTGTTTTCTATGTCTGTCTCTCACAGGGTCTCCATCATCTCTCTGCCTCACTGTGAGTGTATCCATGTTTCTATTGTTCTTTTCTTGGCACTTTAAAAAATGATTAAAAAATTTTATACATATGGATAGTTTGTTTGCATGAACAAAAGTCAAAAGAGGGATAAGATCCCTTGGAACTAGAATTGCTGATAATTTTGAGTTGTTATGTGGGTGTTGGAAATCAAACCTGTGCCCTCTGGGAAACCAGTCAGTGCTCATCATCCAGAGTCACCTCTGGGCCCACTGCCACATCTTTCTTTGGATTTAGCATGTTCTGTGCCCCTGCAGAGGAGACTGCCCCATGTTAGAAACCCATATTCGAAACTTGCCTGTGACCACACCCCCATATGGCTTTGGGGGACACCAACCCTTATTATCCCTATCTTTTCTCATGTCTAAACTCCAGGGTAGCAGGCACACACAGTCACTTCCAGTTTAGAGAGGTTTATTCCTCAGGGACATCGTCGGCGCAAAGGGTGGGAGCCCATGGACTCAGCCCTCAAACTTTTTCTTGCGGCCCTCCATTCCACTTAGCGCGTCGATGTTCTTGCGCCAGTCTCCCACCTCCCGGTTTTCCTGGAGGTGAAAGTTCAGAGGTTACGAACTCTTTCTGGTATCTATCCCCTAAATACCCTCTATCTCCCCTCTAGCTTACTAGACCACTCTACGCTGAGCTGAATACCTGTCCAAGAATCTGATTCTAGACAATCTGACCAACTTCCATAAATTTCCAGTCTCCTCCCTGCACCTCCAGTCTCCCTGTGCACCTCAGTCTCCCCCTCCCCGGGCACCTCCAGTCTCTCCTGCACCTCCAGTCTCCCCCTCTCCGTGAACCCCAGTCTCCCCCTCCAGTGCTCCCCAGTCTCCCCCTCCTCATGCACCCCAGTCTTCCCCTCCCCGTGCACCCCAGTCTTCCCCTCCCCATGCACCCCAGTCTCCCCCTCCCCGTGCACCTCCAAGCTCTCTGTCTGGACTTTACCGTGGTTGTGGCTCCTCAGACCCTCTCAAGCATCTGCCTTCCTCACCCTCATTCACACTCACCTTCTCAATGTCCTCCTTCTTCACCTGCTTGAGGTGGGCCCTCAGGTCCAAGGACTCCTTGGCCCGGGTCCCTAGCAGAGCCTGCATCATGGCATCTGCAGAGATCCTTACTCTTCGCAGGGTGGGCCGCTTAAACTTGCCACGCAGGTCATAGATCTTCTGGGTCAGATCTGCGATCTGGGGGCGACCACATGGGGCCCACGTGGAGATTCCCCTTACCTCTGCTTTCTTCCCTATTCTTCCAATCTGACTTTCCCCTTTATCCCTATCTTGCCATCAGTATCTGAGCTCCCGCCTTTCTTCCAGCTCTGGTTCCAGGTTAAAGCCTCCAACCATGCTGGGTGGTGATCCCAGCACTCTGGAGGCAGAGGCAGGCCAATCTCTTTGACTTCAAGGCCAGACTGATCTACAGAGCGAGTTCCAGGACACGCCCCAAAGCTACAGAGAAACTCTGTCTCAAAAAAAAAAAAAAAACAAAAAAAACAAAAAAAAAAAAAAAACCCAAAAACAAAACAAAACAAAAAACAAAAAAAGAAAAAGAAAATGCCTCCAACTGCACGCATGTTCTTTCGGGTGTTCCCCGGCCCCATCAAAGCTTCTAACAGCCCAGCCCAGCAATGTGCAGATCATGACTTCCTGATAGGGTCTTAATTCATTTACTATTCAATTGTCCAGTCACACTGCCTTGTGCCGTCTCTCTGCTGAAAAACTTCCTTTCTCACGGTGTAGGCACACTGCTAACTGCTTTCTGCTCCGAGTTCCCTCAAGCCCAAACAGCCATAGCCTGAAGCCTGAAGCCACAGACCTGGGGATGACAGTCTACTGTGTGGGTGCCCAGACTTTCCCAAGATTCCCACCTCGGTGATGTTCTTGGTGACTTTTGCTTCCACATCGTATCTCTCCTCATCCACTTTGTCCACCCGAGCATGGAGCTGCCGGCATAAGTCCTGATGAAAAAAATACATGTGTGTTGAGAGAGAGGCTGGAGAGTGGGTTCCCTGGTCTGAGGGAGGAAGCCTGGGCTCTGGATCCCTGGGTCTGAGGGAGGAGAATTGGGCGCTAGGTTCCTGAGTTTGAGAGAGAAGTACTGAGATATGGACTCCTGAGCCTGAGGAAGGTGGAACTGGAAGGAAACGACATTGGAGTGTACTCCAGGGAACTTCAAGTAATATGGCTAGGAACCAAGAATCCTGAGACTTGGCAGGGGACGGCTGGAGAAATACACTGGGTTTTGGATGTTGTAGCGCTGTCTGTATTGCTTGGCTTAAGGTCCCAAACGAAACGGGAAACCGTGATTGTGCTCCTGATACCCAAGGGTTGCCAGACCGGAAACATGGAACCTCTGGCCCCAGGTTCGGCAGGAATCCCTGCTTTCTGAGCTGCTACCTGAAGCTCTTCAAAGCCCAGCCCATCCAACTCCAAAGGCTGGCACCGAGTGCTCAGAACGCGCCCTTTCTCTCCACGTCGCTCCTCTGCCTCGCGCTCTATCTCCTGCTTCGCAATCTGCAGCATCAGAGTCTGCAGAACGGTTGAAAAAGACAACAGTGTTCCCAAAAGCACAGCAACAACAACAAAAAAATTCCCTCCATCTTCCAGAGAGACAGAACTTCCAAGTTAGTATCTTTTACACAAAAACTGTCTCGTTTCTGCGCACACATGTGTGAGGGAGGGAGGGGGCACAATGACACACTTCCAAATGAAACCACACCCAGAAAAGCCCCGCCCATCAAGGCCCTGCCCTTCTGAGCATGTCGTCACCTTCAGCTGAAGTTTCCTCGAGGCGGAGATCTTAGACTTTTTCTGCCAGGATGACATGGAGAAAGGTCAGCGAGAGGTCCCAAAGTGGACACTGGGCGGGGCTGCAAGGCCCCATCTTTCACTCGAGTGCAGGTACATTTGGGCCACCTATTCTTCAACTAGAACGCTGAGTCCACCGGAAGCTTGGGCTCTGACTAGAGCTACACACTGCCCATCTATCCACCGCTCCCCACCCCATCGCCTATGCCTTGCTGTGGGCAGCGAAGTTCCACCCCCAGGCAGCTGTCACCAAGCCCAACCTACACCTTTCAAAAATTATGCCCCACCAATCGAGCTCCATCCATCACCAGAGCCCTGCCACCCCTGTCAAGGCCTTGGTGCCTCCCCTTCCTGAGCCCAGCGGTGGCCCCACCCTCTAGGACCCCGGCCCACCTTGGCGTGTGGCTCCGTGGCATAGGCTCGGTAGTTGGCAGAGGAGCGGCGTCGGACAGGGGCTGGTGCTGGCTGAGGCTCCCCAGCCTGGAGGTGGAGCAGACTACAGTCAGTGCCTAAACCTCCCACCCTGTCCTTCCCGGGACCCTCACCTACAGCTGCAGGCTCCACCCGCCCATCGAGTCCCAGTCCCTTGCAGCGCCCACTCTGGGCCGAGGGTTCCCTGCTCCACTTCTTAGTTCACAGCGCTCACCGCATCGCTCCTGAAGGGAGAGAAACCGCGAAGAGGCAATAAATGACCGGGCTGCCCCTGACCAAGAGGTCGGGGTTACTAACTTCCACTCCCTTGGACCCTGGGGGGTCTGATTCTCAAATGTTTACTTATTTCCACCCAGATATCCAATCACCCTTACATTCTACCATCTCAGGCCAAATATCTAACCAAGCTGAACCTCGAAGGGCCTGATTACTCTTCTCCCCGTTCCTTGGGGATCCAGTCCAAGGTTACCAAGATTCACTTACTCGTCCGCCATGCTGATCCCTCAAGAGAGAGAAAGGGATCAGAGAGAGCTTCCTGGAGGGTCCTGGAGGGGTGTCCCCAGTGACCTTGGAGGTCTCGAGAGGGTTGGTTGGGTCCCCTCTGGGCTGCTCTAGCCTCACTGAGGACACTGAGATAAGGGGCGAGGACAGAGACTAAATATACTGCAGTCTCCACCCCTGCCCAGGACAGGAGATAACAGGGTGTGAGGGGAGGAGTGTGCAAAGCCCCAGCTAGATGACCAAGGTGCCCAAGGTCCACACCCCCCTCCTTCTGACTCTGGTGACCCAGCTCCCTCCTCCCTCAGACTCCGGAAAATCTGGAAGCCAGCCCCCTCTTCTCTCAAAGTTCAGAGTCCAGACTTCAGCTCCCCCTGTTCACACCCAGAAATCCAGGCCCATCCTTCCTCCTTCACACCTAAGGGGTCCAAACTCTGGCCCCTCCCAAAACTGCAGTCTTTCAGAGGCCTAGAATTTCCTGTGTCTCCTTCTCTATTTGGGCGTCAGTTTCAGTGACCACAGCTTGTTTAGTTTGAATGCTCATGTGTCTGACCCCAGGTTGTGAAACACAACCGAGTTCATTTGTAAACCTGCAAATAGGGCTTCTACTCGGCCCTCCTCCCCTCCCCGCCTTCTCCCGGCATAGGACACCGATTGAGGACAGACACACAAAGGTGACCCTGCGCTCTTTATTTGAACCACATGATGGGGACAGTACAAGTCAGGAGAGAAAGGCCCAAGGCAAAGGAGAGGACCTGGAACCCAAGGTGGTGCGCCCAGCCAGGGATCAGCCACAGGATAACTCAGAGAACAATCTAGGACCACCACCACCCCTAATCATAGAGCTGAGCGGGTCCGGGAAGGGAATTTAAAATTCTCGTTATATCACTGGGGTTAAGAAAGAATGTAGAGTAAAATAGCGATCCAGCTAGTGGTGGCTGAGGGCTGCTTATATGAGCTGGTGTCAATCCTGGGCCTGCTTCAGTGGTTAAAGGGGGACCGCTTGGTCCCTGGGTTTTGGAGGTGTATTCACAGTGGATATTGCCATGGCTGCGTTTATCACTTCCGGAGGAGGGACCAGGTCAGTCTGGGTCAGGCTGATTGCTTCTAGAGGAGTGGCCAGGTGAACCTGGGGTGGGCTCATCTCTTCTAGAGGAGGGGCCTGATCAGCCTGGGGTGGGCTCATCAGTTCTAGAGGAGGGGCATGGTCAGCCTGGGGTGGGCTCATCACTTCTAGAGGAGGGGCCTGATCAGCCTGGGGTGGGCTCACCACTTCTAGAGGAGGGGCAAGGTCAGCCTGGAGTGGGTTTATGGCTTCTAGAGGAGGGGGCAGGACTTTACAGGGCACCAATGCAGATTCCACAGCTGAGTCTCCACTACCCATAGTAGAGTTTCCTAACTTGTAGAAGCGCAAAAAGGTCTCTGAGGGGGTGGCTCCTGTATGAGGGGCAAACCCAGCTGCCCGCGCTATCTCCCCAACACGGTCAGAAAACGCCTTCAACTCCTTGGGCCTCAGGTCCACCAAGTACCTGGTTCAGGAAACCGCACGTGAGAAGGCTGGGCTTTGGACCCGGCTGGGGCCTTCCCACCCTGCTCCTCTCTGGCTCACCGAGCTAATTCCACAACCAGATTTCCTCCAGGAGCCACGCAAGCACCAAGCTCAGGGCTGAGAAGATGGACCATCCTGTGAAGAGAAAAGGCCCCGAGCTCACGGCTGAGAAGATGGGCCAGCCTGCGGATGCTAGGAGCTGAGACATACAGGTAAGCATGGTGGAGACTATGAAACTGATCCCTAGATCCCGAGAAAGAAGAAACCGGGCCTGACGCTAGGTCTCTATGAGCACACCTGTGTCCTACTTACCCACAGGAAACATAGAGCAGTTGGAACCGGCCCTTGTAGCAGGTCTTATGGTGGAGAGTCTGCGAAGAATCGAGGGACAGAAAGTGAATAGTAAAGGGTTCTCGAGTAGGTGCTGCAAGAAAAGGGATGAAAAACGTCAGTTCTGGGGCTGGAGAGACGACTTACCTGCTAAGAGAGTGTGCTACTCTTTGTGCCTAGCACCAAAACTCACGTGGGACTCATGTCTAGCGCCCTCTTGTGGTCTCTGACAGCATCTACATGTGCATGTGCATATACACACACAAAAAAATCTAAATCTTAACGGAGGTAGTCAAAAAGACACACAAATGGGCGGACAAACAAATATCGGTGTTCCTTGTTCTCTACCTTTGTTTTTGTTTTGTGATAGGTTCTCATCTTGTTGCTGATGATTTCTGGATTTGTTAATAAGAGCAGGCATTTCTTCCTGTCTCAAGTCTCCTGAATACTGGGATGACATGCATGACCACGCCTCGCTTTCTTGGCTTTTTCTTTAGAAATACTTTTGGTGATGGTGTTCCACAGTGTGCGTGTGAAAGGTCAGGTGACAGCGTTATGGAGTCTGCTCTCTCCTTCCACCTTTACTTGCGTCCCAGGGATGGAACTTGGGTTGCGATACCCTGATGGCAAGCACTGCTCCCTGCTGAGCTCTCCCTGCTGAGCTGTCCTGTTCACCTTTCTTGTCCTTCTAGAAGCCCTCCCCGCTTTCATCCTTTCTCAGAGCTGGATTCTCACAAATCTGGGGAGGTGGGCCCATGAGGCAGAGACCCATTTTGAATAGAGGAACGGGCTCCTAAGAAGGGATGAGTTAAGGGATGGAATAGAAAGAGCAAAAGGCAGGATTCATGTAGCGAGGATGTCTGGGGGAAATGTAGACAGTTCCCAGTTAGAACTGAGAATTCTCCTACTGGTGGTGTCAGGATTTAGGAAAGGGGAAATAAGAGAGCAAAAGAGAACAGACATCAACGAGAGGCCAACCGCCCAGATATTCCAAATTAGCTCCATCCAAAATTGGGGGGAAAAACAGCCCATCTGAAGTTTGCAGGTGTTGCTTCCTACCGTCCGGTTCCGGCGACTCCAGGTACCCCTGGATGGCTCTCGGGCCCCTCCAGGCGGCCACTTCTCTGAACAGCTCTGTAACATTATGCTGCGTGATCTCGCTTGCAGTCTGCCCAGTAGAACAGGGGAGGGACCCGACGTTAGCCTAGGAACCTTATGGGGTGGCCTAGATTGGCTGGGGCGGAGCTTACTGTGCACAGGTAACAGCTAGAATTTCTTGTCGCTTTCCCAGGGCTGGGTTTAGGACATAGTAAGAAAACTGGATCGTAGCGCTCCCAAGTGGGGCCCAAGAGGTTGGGGATAGAACCTGTTACTTGGAGACACGAGACCGAAATGAGGGATGGAACTCAAAAAGCGTTGGCGGAAGGGGCAGAACTTGGAAGGCAGAGGGCGGGAACCTGCCTACTGGGCTTAACTCCAGCCCCAGCGGCCACACACCTTGACCGGTTGTCCGTTACTCGTCCGTAAGAGGCTCTGGTCGTCTGCCTCGATGCCAAAAGCCACAAAGGGGCCCGTGGCGATATCCCCCCAGTACCCGCGCGCTGCCACGCGTTCCCCACGCTGGAAAAAAACAGGGAGATGAGATAACAGGTGAGGTCCAAACCGGGGACCTTGACTCAGGTTGTCCTAGAAGACTCAGAGCAAGCCTGGGGGTAGACACGCACGTGGTTCAGGAGGCGACCCGACGCCAGAGTCCTGTTGGGCACATGGTAGGCACTTGAGTCTCTGAGTTCAAACGCAACACCTGTGTCCCGCCAGCGTCGGAATTCCTGGATGTGGATGACTTGGGCCTAGATGATGAAAAAGGACTTGATGATGAATCTGATACAGGAATACCCCAACTCTATACCTATAGGGATCTCTCTCCCTCAGACCCAGGGGTCCAGATCCCAGTCTTCCTCCCTCAGACCTGGGGGCAAAGTCCCAGTCCTCGTGCTTCACTCAGGACTCAGATGCCGGCCACCTGCTTCCAGGCTCTCTTACCCCTCGATCGTGCAGCTTCATGCGCAGGTCCCAGTCTGCAACACCACGCCGGGCATCGTAGCGGGAACCCAGGTAGTGGCGCAGTCTCGAGTCCCAAAGGCGACTCATGGGAAACACCTCGGGTCCCTTCTCCCCACCTGACCAGAAGCGGAACACGGCCTCCAGGGCATCCCGCTCGCGGAACTGCACAGCCACGGACACATGGAGAGATACCCAGAGATACAGGGAAGGTTTCTCTCCGGTCCATTAAGTGGGAATGAGGATAGAGGGAGAGAGGGGGAGGGGGGAAGGGAGGGAGGGAGGGAGGGAGAGAGGGAGGGAGGGGGGGAGGGAGGGAGGGAGGGAGGAGTCAGAGGTGGGATTGGGACCTCCACACCCCAGCCTGCTCCCCCAGTTTCTCTGAACCGCTCATCTCCATTCTTCCCACAGGCCATGCTCCTTCCATCCCAGAGGTGGGCAGCTGTGGCACCTTGAGCGGCCGAAGGCTGAGCCAGGGTAGTTGCTCCTCCAGGAGGTCAGGTTCAGGGACCAGATGAGACAGGCGGCTAGCCTGGTCGCGCACGAAGGCAGCTACGGAGGGTCGCAGCAGCGCGTTCCCCCACAGCTCCAGGAAGGTCTCACTCCGCTCTGGAGGGAGGTGGGAAGGATGAGGCAGGATGGAAGATGTGGCAAACTTCACCAGTTCAGGAGCCGCAACCACCACCCAGCTCCCCAGATCAAAGCTGGGACTTCACGAAGGCAAGGCAAGCTGGCCTATAGCCTCAAGCCTTTTTTTTGAAATTTTGGGTTGTTTTTGGTTTTTGAGAGAGGGTTTCTCTGTGTAACCCTGGCTGTCCTGGAACTCACTCTGTAGAGCAGGCTGGCCTGTAATTTACAGAGATACACCTGCCTCTGCCTCTCAAGTGCTGGGATTAAAGGCGAGCGCCACCACCACCCAGCTAGATGAGGACTCAGGAGTCAGTTCTCTCATCCTACCCACGTGAGTCCCAGAAATCAAACTCAGGTCATCAAGCGTGGTAGCACCTTTACTAACTGAGCCACTTCCATAGCCTCTGTTTGTTTTTCGAAATGGCATTTTATGCATTCCGCAGAACCTAGAACTCTATGTAGCCAAGGACAACCTGAACTTCTGAACCTACTAGCCTCCTCCCTAGTGCTGGGACAACCTGTGCCACCATACCAGGGGCCTATATCCCCAACGTTTTACATATTTAGTTAATTTATTTTTA